CTAAACAAAATTAGTACGGGACCACCCCTGAATTATCGCAATCGGTTAACATGGTCGAAAGTTATGCGGTAACATACATAAAAATATATATATATATATATTCCGACGAATTGATAACCTCCTCCTTTTTTGAAGTCGGTTGAAAATCATACTTAATCCTATTTGTAATGCTAAATAATATAAACATATACTGAAGTACATTCACGTAAATTGTAAATAGGTAACCCTTTTCTAGCAAACATGCAGAGAAGCACTTTTTTCGGTCCTTATTGGGTAAGTCTTTTAGAATGGTGTCTCTTCACTTTAGGTTATGCATATACAAAATGGCAAAAATAAACATGAAGGGCATTGTAGGATATGTGGAAATTCGCAAATGGTGGTAAGGTAAGAAATTTCAAGACCACGTTAAAAGCGCGGAAATTTTTCCAAGTTACGTCACACTATGGGACTACAGCGGCCAAAAGTAGTAAAAACAGATAAGCGAATTCTGAAAAAATAATTACGCAGATGCATAGCAAAATATCCAGCTAACCCAAACCAAAAAGAATTTTGGATGAAAATGCATATTTGCAATCATGATACGAGCTTAAATTAGGAGCAATGCGAAAAAATAAATTTGAAAGAAAATATTTTCATTTTGTCGCAAGTAATTTGAACTCATTTTTCTACGTGTGCGGATATATAAAAAGCCAATCTGATTGATAAGCAGTTTTTGAATATATCTGCGGTCAAACATTGCTTTAAATTTTTATACAGCTTTTGAAATGTATAAAACAGTTTACCTTGAAATTCTACATAATTTTGTGAGTGTAAAATTTTTCGGGTGCTTACTTTAAAAAGGGATATTTAAAAAGTACCTAGGAAGCGAGCTAAATTATACTTAGGACAAGTAAACATTAAATATTCGTGTCATATCTCAAATAGTTCCAGCTGCGAGGAACTGCGAGTTCAGCTTCTATTCTTCCTTTTATAGACCCACCTCCTGTAAAATTTATTGAGTTTTTATTGTAGAGCAAAAAGGAAAGACTCAGATATGTACATAAAATGAATAATATGCAATATAAAGTGGAAATTAAAGAAGGTGTAGATATTAATGACTCGCCAATCTATAACTCCCAATCAACGTTCAGCCAAAAATGGATGGGATCCGTTTCAATGGCAAGAGTCCTGCTTGCCTTAGCTCAGCTTTTGTTGTATAAAATGTAGGTAAAATTGAAAGTATCAATGTAAATACATATCGTGCACATAATTTAATATGCAGGTATTGGTAATGGCAAAGCGAAAGCCATTTTTAAAATGAAGAAATAGGAACTTCTTTAGAAATAAAATAAATGTGCCTGTTCATTTTCTCCAAAATTCATAAAATTTGGTACTTGGAGCCAAGCTGTGTAGGAGGTGGGTGCCGTAATAAGAAGCAATTTATTATCTTCCAAGTTGGAAAATTTAGGCTTAAACGAGCAGGGCACACCGAATTTCATCAAAAAAGGTTTTTTTTTAAAATTGTTTTTGCAGAATTACTGGACGATAATGTAAACCGATTTTGACGAACTTTCAGATTTAAGCTTTTCTCATTAAAGCCAGCATATGCTCTAAATTTCATCAAAATCGGATAACATTTACTATTTCCGCCCTACTATTTGGGCGTGGTAGCGCGTTGAATTTTACAATTTTCAACATTTCTTCATTCCTAAGTGCTAAGCTAATTTCTTTGGCCGCAGCTTATATGGGGACGTCCCACTGTGCGTCACCGGCAAGAGAAATTTGTTCTTTTATGATAAAAAAAAAATTCAGAACTTGAGCATTTCATCCTCATCAATCATTCAGCTCTACGGATTGTACCACAAAAGGTTTGCTCATTAGTGACATTCGAGTTTTGACACTCCCTTAGCTCCCTTACAAAAGCTTTGCACACACACACGAACCCATACGCAGTGCCTTGCTAAGGGACCTGATTTTGTCACGAGGGAGCGAGAAGACTGTTTTTTGAGCAAACCTAGTACATTATAATATCAGAAAATACTTCAAAATAATAAAACGCTCGAACTAAAGAAACTGTATTTATAGGGTATAAGTGTCCTGGTCGATTAGTTCAGGATTATGGCAGCCCTATTGTAGTGCGAAATCAGCGGCTTTGTCTGCGCCTTCGTTGCTATCAATTCCAATATGACTTGGAACCCACATTAACTTTAGCTTGTGTTGGAACAAAATAAGTATGTCACGAATTTCGATTATCTCCCAGGCAACCTAGCAAAGAAGGACATTTTTGGTTTTCTTTTATAAATACACGTATACATTAGGGTGCCCATCGAAAATTCTTTTTTTTTAGAAACTTCAAGACCCTACCGCCTAATTTTATTCATTTTTAGGAGAAATCTTATTGTCTATTTTTATAGATTTTTTAACGGTCATTTAGAGCGCGACCTGTCGATTTAGGTCAGAAATAGCATTTTGTAGATTTATGAGTTTTTGAATGACTATTACTGATTCGACTTCAAAGATCGAGTATGAATTGAGAAGAGGATATATAGGCCTTTAAAATGGTATATAATAATCTATTGTCGGACTAGGCTTGTTGGGATTTTTTGTCGGGTAAATTAAAAAAATACCCATATTTCTGTTAATTTTTTTAAATTTTACCATCGATAATTTTTACAATTTCAAAATATGGATTGCTATCTGAAATTAAATCTATTTTCAAATAAATTGATACCTCATTTATTGGAATCGCATACAAATTTTCGAATTTGAGCTACTTTACTTAAATATGCCCTTGAATTTATATGTGCACTCCGCACTCCGGACGGCGACAGGATGCCTTCAGATGTCGCCAGAGTACCATCTCCATAGCTAGGCAGAAATACTCCCTATAAGGGAGGCTGAGAAAGCAGTTTTCGGTGGGTTGCCACAGACTTGAGCACCCCAGCAGGCCCTTGCTCAAAGAGGATCCGCCCAGGCACGTCAGAAGGCATCTTTGAGCATCTTTTCGAATGTATGGACGTGGTCCAGACCCACTTCGAACAATTTTTCGATACGACGACGCACAGTAGGAGATCCCCATACATTCTTATGTATACATACATACATATGTATATACGTACGTATGTATTTTTCGATCTTAATATAACATAAAATACCTATCAATGGGTTTATCGGGGTTTCGTCAAGACTTTCCTGAACTTAGTAGATCTCCAAGCATGGATATATCGAGTATTTGGTTTGTTTTGCCGACATCGATATATTTCGATATCGAGTATGGCATCTTCATTTTCTCACTACTTACTTTAGTGGCAAACACCATCCCGAATGGAAATTTGACATGCCGATTTGTAGCCTATTAAATTTTAGTATAATAGAGTACAAGTTAGAAGTTGCTAAAGATTCCGTTGGTTTCTGATAATTTTTTTTACTGACGGTGTTGTGCATTTTCTAGCATACGGCAGGATGGGGGGTTTCCTCAATTATCAAGGAATAATACTGTTTTCAGACAGGCAGTTAATCGAGCAATTATCCAAGCTTTCTCAATTAATGCACTAATTAAGATCGATTTGCCATACAAAATTTCAATTATAAATTGCTCGATTGGTAATTAATTGAATGTTTAATCGAGTAAAAACTCCAATGCAACTCTGTTAGGTAAGTTCGTTTTCTTAGTTTTGATGTGTTCAGTGTTAAATGACAATCAGCTGTTTGACATACATTTATTATTTTCTTTTTGGAACCAAAAACATCAAAAACCAAAAAAAATTAATTTTAACTGCAGGATGCAGAACAATCTGAATGGTGAGTAAATAAACACAAATGGTTTGTGTAATGTTTATTAAAAACACATATGTATGTATTTCAGTTCGATTACCTCCAAAACCAAGAAAGAGGAGACTGGCTTGGGCAGAGGATGGCGAAGTGGCCATTCTTGATTTGTGGCAAGAGCGCGTTGCTGATCTCCGCGGTGCACGGAAGAATGGCCACATTCTACGCGGAGATGGCGAACGAGCTGGCAAAGTGTGGCCACAACTACAGCGCCCGGGATGTGCATGTGAAGTTGGCGAGCTTCACGCAACTCTACAGGTAAGAAGAAATAAAGGAATAATATTCAAAACCACTAAAAATTTAATTAGTTAATAGAAATGAGAAATTGGATATGGGACCTTCTGGTGGATCACCCTCAACGTGGCCTTTATACGCAAGGGTGCTCCAGATAATCGGTGGATTTAAGGCCAACATGTTTTGCGAGCTGACGCTTGAAAATATCAGCGGTATGTATGAGTTTTTGGAATGTGCCTTACTAAAAGCCGTAATGTGTTTAGTGGAGATATTTGTTTTGTAGCAGAGTGACGCGTCTGTGTACATGCTAGAACAGCTCGTTTAGTTGCAGGTTTAAGTGCGAAGGTAAACTTCGATTTTGCACGAGCACAGACATACGGTGGCGCTTCAAAACAAATGTTCCACTAAAAACTTAAGTAGAGAATGAAAATGTTCCCCACTTAACTGGTTTGAGTAGTAATAATAGAAATTTGATCTACTAAAAAATGTTCACTATTTATAATGAAAACATCTTTTGGGAAATTTTTAGTTATTTGTAAAACGATTTTGTGGTGGTGCACCCCAAACCACCCTAAACGAAAGAGGATGGAAAGCGCTTTACTAAAAGTAACCCATCCCCCCACAGACCCCTTGGGAGCTGTTTAAACATACGGGAAATTGGGATTTTTTGCGAAAGGATTATAATCCTCACTAAGTACAATTATCCTTTCTGTGTTGCCGAAGAAGAGGGGCTGAACACCTTTTGCAGAGATAATTCGTGGATACTTTTTGCGTTTGACAGCTCAGCTCGGTTTTTTTTTTTATTCGGGTCACGCGTTTTGCACATCAACCCAAAATTGTTGTACAAAAAACTATACCGTTACCTATCTTTTTAACTTCGATACAAGCACATATGTACATATGTATTTATTTAATGCTAATTTTATTTATTTCATTCTTATTTGTGTTTTTTTTTTCTTTTAAACAGAAGCCGATATAGCATCCCAGCCATCACCACTGACCCCAGTATTGCCGTCATCACTCAGCCCAACATTTTCCTCACCACTGGCATCACCTCTTCCTGCTGTGCCAACCACACCACTGCCTACACCGTCACCGCCGCTGTCGTCACCTCTCACTCCTCTGCCAACCACACCGCCACCGCCGCTATCATCGCCATCATCACCAATGCCTAGCAGCTCAGCTTCTGCGGTTGAGCCTAAAAGAAAGAAAGCAATGGGCACTTTACAAAAGAAAGTATTATACAAATTTGATGGGTTGTCAGCGGAGATAAGCCAACATATTCAGAGGAGTGAGGAAAATGAAAAAGAGTGGATGAAGATAGAAAAAGACAAAGCTGACACACTGAGGGAGATAGCCAATGATAACAAGGAATTAAAAGTTGGCATTTTATCATTTTTAAATAGACATTAATAACATTGTACAGCACTCGGCTGGGTATTGGACCAAACCAACTTTTTTAAAGAGATTGAGTCATAAGTAAAAAAAAGTTAGTTCTCCGTTTTTCGAAGTTAGCTTTAAAATCGAGATATGGGCCTTCGAAGTTCGAAATTGGACCTTTGGTAAAAAATTATTTTTAATTATTGCATGTAAAACGCAAAAAAGTAAAAATGCAGACATGGTCCGCCTTTTGCTCTCATTTATATGATATATAATTTTTTTGTGAAAACTTATATTACAGGTGCTATAACGGGTCAAAGGTCAGATCTTCGAAAAATGGAAAACTTAATATTTCAGACAATTTTGAACCGATTTTAAAAAGATTCACATCGTTGTAAAATCTATTAAATGCGCTTTCTTACCTATCTTATTACTAACCGATTTTTAGAAATATGCATATCAGAAGAAAGGGGATTTAATCACCTTTACAACGATACCAATTGTTTAAAAATCGGTTAGTCATTTTTTTGTTTAAAATATTTTATTTTATAAATTTAAATGTGTTTTTTCTAAAATTTTTATATACAAAGTATAAAAATATGCATATCGAAAGAAAGCAGATTTAATCACCTTTACAACAATATAATTTTTCTTTTAAATCAGTTCAAAATTGTTTGCAATATAAGGAAATAAATTTTTCGAAGACCTGAACTTTGTCCCCTTATGGCACCTGTAATATAGGTCTGCACAAAAAAATTTATATACCATTTAAATTAAAGGTGGACTGCGCCTATATTTTTAGGTTTTTAGTTATTTACATAATGCAATAATTTAATATAATTTTTTACCAAAGGTCCTATTTCGAACTTCGAAGGCCCATATCTCGATTTCGGAGGCTAATTTCGAAAAACGGAAAAATCACTTGTTTTGCCTATGACTCAAGTGCAGTTATTAACTAACAAAAAGTATATACAGTGTCTCAACCCAATGGCCACGTGTTGATATTAGTAATGTTTTTCGAGCTAAATTTCTTTTGTTATTTATTTATAAAAATACCGTCCAAGCTTTAACCAAAACCTTCAAAATCACTTGGGGGATTCACAACGGTGTCGTTAGTGTCGTATTGTTGTATGTCGTAAACTTTAAACGCCTAAGAAATATATTAAAAGGGTTCGCAAAGTACCATCAAAGTCATATTATGAATTTTCGCAGTGTTAAAAAATAGTTGGTTGTGGTTTTAACTTCTCTAAGCATTTATTTAAGCTTTTAAAGTTTACAACAATATGACACTTACGACACCGTTGTGAATCCCCCAAGTGATTTTTAAGGTTTTGGTTAAAGCTTGGACGGTATTTTTATAGATAAATAACAAAAGAAATTTAGCTCGAAAAACATTACTAATATTTAAAAACAAACAACACGAGGTCATTTGTTTGATTCACTGTAAATAAAAAAAAATGAAAATGAATTAAATGAACAAATAACAAGTAAGAAAGTCTAAGTTCGGGCGGAGCCGAACATTAAATACCCGGCGCAAGTATTAAATATATGTTTTCCACTTTTCCGAAAGCTACCGCTACATGATAAGCCGGCGTGTATAAATTTTAAGTAAAATAGCGTCCTTAAATTTCAAAATATTGAAATTTCAAGCATTTCTGAAATTTACCGTTATATGAAAAGCGGCCGTAATTTTAGTCCGATTTCAACAATTTTCAATGGTAAACGTATTTCCTGGCAAAGAATTGTTGCAACCATCATTTTGAATAAATTAGCTTTAATATTTACTGATTTATCGAGGATTTCGTATTTCTCGAAATTACCGTTATATGGGATGTGGGCGTGGTTATTGTCCGATTTTAAAAATTTTCGGCCATTTGGTATGCTGTACCAGGGCCAACAACTGTGCCAAGTTTGGAATAAATTGATGTAGCGGTTACCAAGATATACACATGTAACCATAAGTGGGCGTGGCTACGCCCATTTTCAAAAAAATTTTAATATTCTTATTTTTCGTCTAAAATTATTGATAAATATCAATTTTGAGTGAATTATCTTCAGTAGTTACTAAAATATCGCAGTTTTCGTATTTCTGAAAATTACCGTTATATGGGAGGTAGGCGTGGTTATTGTCCGATTTTGCCCATTTTCAATACCATCCGTCCCACGCCCGAAAGAAGTACACGTACCAAGTTTCATTAAGATATCTTAATTTTTGCTCGAGTTATCGTGTGCACAGACGGACGGACAGACGGACGGACAGACAGTCACCGCTTAATCGATTTCTCTTTTCATTCTGATCATTTATGTATACATTTGTCTATATCTATCTCGATTCGTTTTGCCTGTTACAAACAACCGTTATGTGAACAAAGTTATAATACCCTTGTGCACAAGTGCGCTCGGGTATAAAAATTGTACTCACTAAAATAATTGCATAGTCCTTGCCTTATTTCTTCAGCTGAGGGTTGATTGTCTCCAACTATAGTAACATATTCAGGATTTTCGAGATTTCTGTTCACTTCTTGCAATCTCTCCAACCACATGTCATTTATAGTGTCGTTCATTTCATTTAAATAATTGTGCAAGACGCAGCAGGCTCTAATAATGATGGGTGCCTTCCCAATTCGGTTGTCTAAACCTTTTCCAACACGACGGAATCGTCCTTTCAAGTGGCCAAATGCATTCTCAACTACTCTTCTGCACTTTGAAAGCTTATAATTATAGAGTTTTTGTGTTTCAGTTAAGGCCATTGAAAACGCGTATGGCTTCATTTAGGAGGTGGAAAACCAAAACGCAGAATATCCAATAATCCATATAGGCATTTGTACTCCACCTATTTCTTTCTTACTGACCTTCAGTAATTCGTTCTCCTCCATTACTCGCTTCATTAACGATGCATTATATATCTGCGAATCATTGCATCGTCCAGGAGCACCAATGTTCACATATAAAAACCGATATCTGAACATATATAGAAATAATTAATACATGCTTTTTAGAAAAAAACAACAGGATGAAAGTTAAATAACCTGTAATCCACTACAGCTAGTAGAACAATGGAATACCATCCTTTATAGTTGTGGTAGTCGGTTGCATCGNCAACAGGATAAAAGTTAAATTACCTATAATCCACTACAGCTAGTAGAACAATAGAATACCATCCTTTATAGTTGTGGTAGTCGGTTGCATCGGCTGGATTCGGCCTAACTTCGATGTGGCACCCATCTGAATATATACATATGTATGTACGTACATCTTTGTTTTTATATAAATTAGTTGCATTTTTACCTTTCTTACCAATTGCTCCAAGGCATTGGGGAAAGCCGAGACGGTCAAAACCATCAACACAGTCTTTTAAAGTTTGTGNAATCTTTGTTTTTATATAAATTAGTTACATTTTTAACTTTCTTACCAATTGTTCCGAGGCATTGGGGAAAGCCGAGACGGTCAAAACCATCAACACAGTCTTTTAAAGTTTGTGGAGTCGGTGGTAATTTCTTTATGTATTGCGCTGACAAAGCTTGCCAGACTTCCTCGCAAAACTCCCACAAGATTGTGCACACGGTCGATATTCCAACACCAAATAGTTCGGAAACCACTCTGTACTCTCCAGACGATCCCAGCGTAAATAGAGCTATCGCAACGCGTTTNGCAACACCAAATAGTTCGGAAACCTCTCTGTACTCCCCAGACGATCCCAGCGTTAATAGAGCTATCGCAACGCGTTTTTGCAATGGAATCGCGTTGCGCCAGTTTGTGTCGGCTTTGTGCAGGTTTTTGAGGAAACCACAGAGTGTTTCGAAACTAGTGCGGTTCATGCGGAAGTGCGTCTTAAAGAAATGGTCATCGTTGCAATTGCAATTAACTTCCCAGAAAGAAGACTGCCGATTCTGTAATAGAGGAAGTATCATTTATAAAAGGACAAGAACTGATTACTTATAATTTGATTTACCAATTTCCAGAGGGATCTCTGAGTAGCGTTCCTCTGCAGTAACCCGTAAAGCAATAGCTGCTGTCTTCGCAAATGTTGCAAAATGATGAAGTTTTTTTCTTTTCTCTTTTATATAAGACCATTGTACCTGCGTAGCTAGCCAGCACTGACAGCAAAACTTTTATATTTGCAGTATACGCAAGAAAAAGTTCACTTAAACACTTATTGTTTTCCATTTTACCAATTTATTGTAAATAAACAAAAATTCTTTTAAGACAGCTGACAGCCACTCCTTAATCGAGCAGCTGATTGTGTGTGAAACACAAAAATCGAATACTTAATTAAAAACTTAATTGACTGAATTAATTTTCTGTCTGAAAACAGTATAAGCCTTCTTAATATTGCATACAAGGTCCTGTCGACGATACCGTGTGAAAGACTAAAGCCCTTCCCGAACCGACTGATTTGACCTTATCAGTTTGGCTTCAGACCTGGTAAGTGCACCAATGACCAGATTTCCACAGCACGTCAAATTCTGGAAAAGCCACACGACATGCAAATCGACTCACACTAGGGATGTTAATTCCGGGATGCCGGCCTTTTTTAAGTCCGCCTTATGTTCACCAGTTTTCGCTATATTTCTTTTGTTTATTTAATATTTATAATTTTTTTTATGAATGTCTAGCTCATTATACATACACATAACACCGTGCGACAGGCAATTTTACACACACACAAATCAATATATTCGCGAAGTCATGGGCCAAATATATGCAGTAAAATTGCGTTTTTAGTTTTTTCTCTGACGTCAGGACTTTTTAAAGGGTCTTTGAAAATTGAATAATATCAGTAGTTCAGAAATTGATTTAAAAAATTCAGTGCAATATACTTAGAAAAATAATATGGGTATCAAATTAAAGAGAATTAAATTTTTTGGTGCATAAGGTATTGAAAATGTCCTTTTAAAATTGTATTCTTGATTATTTTTGAAATTTTGCAATATTTATTTAAAAAAAATACATGTTAAGGACTAATATAGACTCGACAACATCCTCGAATATAGTCCTTCTAACTTTATTAGCTTGAAATAAAAAAAATTTATTAAAAGGGCAAAGCAATTGACGTTTTGGAAGTCAGCCTATATATTTAATTATGAATGGTATGGTCGCATTACATCAACTTTGGTGAAGCAATTGGAGCGTCTATTCTTTGCACTATATCGACTTTGTCGCATTTGTTTTTTGGCAATTAAACGGCCATAAAGACAGTTAGATAAAGAAAACAATAGAGGCAAAAATTGCCGAAGCCAAATTTGCCTTAGTATCGGGTTTCGATACGAGTATTTGTTTCTCCATACCTACTCAGTACTTGGTTCAAAAGTATCACTGCCAAAATTACTTGTTCGAAAAGTATCGAGTATGTACTTGTATTTATCGTATCGCTTCATCCCTAATTACACAAAGACGAAAAAGATTTATCTTAAAACAAGGCGACGTTTTTGATCTCAAATATTAGGATAATAATTATTTTGGGTCTCTGAAATAAACCCATTTATTTATTATTTATTTTATGGTAGGAGAGCTTCTCAAACAATATAGAAGACATTTTTTCGATTAAAGTTGTTGAAAAGTAATGAGTATCTGAATCCGGGGATCCCGGGATTGTCCTAACGACATCCCGAAAATCTCGGGATCGTAAAAAGCTTAAAAATTAACATCCCTAGTATGTACGCATATTATAAAGCTCTCTTACTTTACCGTCTCTATCTAATGGAATGTGCACAGAACTTAGTTAGATGCACACGTGGAAAAATTACTACTCTTATGGCGTTTTCAAGAATGATAGAAAAGAAGACTGCGCCCTCAACGTTTCGGTATCTTTTTTAGTTTGAGTTAGCCAGCTTCTTTGATGTGACGTCATAAACGAAACGAAAATTTACCACAAAGAGCGACCAACTAGCAATTAAGTGAAAAAGGTGATTATTTCAAATTTAGTGTTCAGTGGCGAGTTTTAATAATGATTGGGGTGTGCACAGTTCGTTCCAAATAGTGTCTCAAAATGTAGACTTCTACATTTTAAGACGTTTTCTAACCGTAAAATCTGTGGTGTTGTTGTTTCCCATACAAAATTGTAAAACGACGCCGTCTACATTTTGTCACACTCAAAGGTATGTTTTTTACGCGTCTACATTTTGCAACCTCGCAGCAGGGTGCATTATGGCAATACTAATCACATTTTTTTATTTATTGGGCACGTGTTATGTATTTGCATTTAATTTGAGTGCAATTTCTGATGAAAAGAAACAAATCAAGGAAAAGAAATAACAAATATTAGGAATTGGTAATTATGTTAAATAATTACAATCTTCTTTTCAATCGTTCTTGGGCGTTTTCTTTTCTCGAAAAGATGTTACCTCTTATGTGGCAACATTTTCAGAGTGCAACACAGAAAGAGCTCGCAATATGCATGTGAAGATGCTGAGAAAAGAACACCAAAACTTGATAGCCCTGGTGCAGGGCAGAATAAATGCAACATTATTTCGAGAAAAGAAAACGCTATAAGATTTCATACTGCCAAAGTTATAAAATATAGCAGAATCTTAAAACTTCGAGTCTCTTGAGGCTGGGTAAACGTTAATCCAAAATTTTTCGTGCTGACACATTTACTAGGTCTTGGTCCATCTTTTCCTCCGATTTGTGGTGTGCGCCTTGACGTTGTCCTACACTTTTACGCCGACTCCGATTGGCAAATTGTTTTAGTGAAACGATTTTTTCATGGCAGAATACACTTGGAGGTGTGTCATTGCCAGCCGAGGTGCGACCGCTTACAAAAAACACTTTTCCTCGGACCAGAGTTCGAACCCTGGCGGTCACCAAACTTTATTTCAACATATCTGAAATTTCGCATTTTGATTCAACTCGCCGAAAATAAAAATAATGGGTTTGCAGCATTGTAATTTTCAACTCTGCGTTTTAAGGTATACCCTAGGCTATGTTTACTCTCCAACTTAGAGGGGAGCATTCAAAACCATTAGAAGTGATGGAAGGAGCAGTGTTGTCGGTTACAACTACATCCTATAAGAATACTAGCCCGGGTGCGTCTTGCAAATAAACCTCCACTCTAGTAAAGTGGCCTCAGCCGAACTACTTCTCACTTATTATAAATCAGTTGGAGCTACAGACGTCCAAAAAAACTTTATTTAAACACTTTCCCATTTACCGAGTTGTTTAACGATTTTAGAATAAATCCCTGGCATCCTGAGATTGCAAATTGTTTTAACATACCTGCGAACACAGCGAAGCCTCTTCGTGGAAATATCCATTGACGAAATCACAATATTCACGGGTGGTAATGCGGCATTCTCCATAGACTCCAGTGCAACACGGATGGCCTATCACCTCACACACCATATGCTCTGCGGTGTGATCTTTGTAGCGAAAACGTTGTGAAAAAGAATTCGTTTTTCGGCAGATGGGCCATTTCGTGATATCGTCTGGCCATTCGTATGGCGCTATGGATGCTGGTGCATCACAATACTTTGGATCCAGACCACAAACCGAACCGGATATACGACCGCCTGGTCCCGATTCTCCAGGTGACCATTTCTTCCAAGTCGATATAGATTTCTGTAATTATATAGGAATAAGCAAGGGCCCATACAAATTCCTTATTCCTAAGAATGTTTATTAAAGTATGTTTCACTCACGGTTGGGAAAAGTCCACGCACGGAGCAGTCCGCTTGTGAACTTTGTACACATCCAGAATCATCATTTCGAATACAGCAAGCTGTTTCACGTTCTTGGCGCCGCGTCTTCAACAGTACATCAATGATGCGAACATCACTGCGCATGCAGGTGGCAAACTTCGCACCCATATGCACCAAATCATTATTCCTGGGCCCAATCCAAACATTTCGCTGTTCTGTGTGCTGCACTGTTTGCAAGCTAAGGCTGGTGACCAACACCTGACCAGTTTTCTGTTCGACCCCAATGCCGATAGGTCCGATACCGTAACATATAAGTGACAATAATAGCACCAAAATCTGCACTGTATTAATCCAGTAAGTAAAAAATGGCCGGTGATCGGCACGATCGTCGAGATCGGTAACAGAAAATAATTTCACCTTACGCTGAATCGGGCGTCGGGAGTTCTCTAGTACTCCATCGAGCAGCTGCGCCGAAATTCGATAGCCACGTGTCCCGTTCGTGGAATGTACATTTGGCAGTGATGATGCAGTAATCTGACCGGCGATCGCTGACTTCTTTGTCTGCTGTGAGCTACCAGCCATACTACAGACATTGCTCAGCTGCTGCCCGCCTAAGCCAACGCTAATGCTGACTCCGCCACCGCTGTTTGATGCTTGTGCTGATGCAGTTACTTGCTCATTATTTGTGGTCGCATGCGAGCTGCCGCCTATTACAGAAGAAGTGCGCCAACCGTGCACGCGTTCACCCATGTATATCTGTCGATGATGCTCAATCACTTTCGCACCGCTATTAGCTATCATAGTGGATCCGCCGGTCCTCATAAAGCCGCCCGTGACCAGCGATTGCGGCAGGGAGATGCCAGCTGCACTATTGCTGTTGTTGTTGCCGTTTAAGTTCCCACCGCCCACGGCTTGCTCAGTGCCAGCCGAGTCGAAAAACACTTCGTCGTCTTGCAACGCTGAAAGGCATTCGAAAGCGTCACCTGAGTTGTCGATACCATTAATATTATTTATGTGAGCTGGCGCAAAGCTGCGAGACCACTGCCGACAGTTACGCGTCTGCCGCCTATTTAAGGTATGAACAATAAATGTTAGGCTCGACATTATCATGGTAGCTACGGTCGCTTTGCGCTCAATATGATCACCTATTTGAAAGTCGGCATACAAGAAATGCCGTCGGCGTGTCGAGTATTCGATTGCCAATTCATTGTCTTCCGTATCGTGAGCGGGTAAAATATCAGGTCGTTCCGAATGATGATGGTGATGTTGATGGTACTGTTGGCTTGTACCACCGGAGCCACCATAGCAGTTCACACGGTTATTTGCTTCGCCGGAATTGTTATTGCTCATTTCCGCATGCAGCTCGCTGTCGGTCTTCAGCGCACCAAAGCGACGGAGAGCGAGACGTCGTTGACGGCCTTGCCAAATAGCAAACTCTTCAGCTTCCGAGCTGGCATCTACGCCAAAGAAGCGCGCTATCTCTTTGCGTATATACTGGCTGAAACGTTTCTTACGCGAAAAACGCTGCATTTTCTGCTGTTGCTGCATTGGGGGTTGTTGTAATGGCGACGACTGCTGTGGCTGATGCATAACTTGTTGCTGCATTGACTGCATTAGCTGCTGATGATTGAACGAACGACTTCCCCCCACGGCTTTATGTTGTTGCTGGGGGCCGCCTATACTGCCTAGGTTGCCGCTAACCACTCCAACATGTTCTGTGACTGTGCCCTGGGTTATGACATTTTTCGGTTGCTGTTTCTGTGACTTTTGCGCAATGTATATTTGCTCGATCTGTTGCTGTTGCAGATGTTCGACCCCACCCCCAATGCTACCATCATCCATTTTGCTCGGAAATGGAATGTGTGAACTATGTGCACCAGCCACCGAAGGCGAGAGAGGGGATATATGTGACTCACTGGTAGATGGTGTCAATGTAAGTGACGCATGGTCTAGAACATTCTGTAGGAAACCGCCGTTGCAATTATTCATACCACCAACAGCGCCGGTGCTAATGACATCCATCATCTGTTGTAGTGGTATGGGACTGATGGGCCCCGTTGTTTGTGTCGTTTGGTGTACGCCCGTTGTGCGGCGTACTGTGTTGCAATGCAAGCAAGTCGTGGCTGCGCCCGCATTGGAATTCATGCTGCTGCTGTTAGCTCCATTTCCGGAGTTGCCTTCTATTTGTGTAACGGGTGTGGAAATACGACCGCCAATCGGGCCGACAGCCGTTGCAGTCGCATTTATGTATTCAATGCTTGGCGTCCGTTGAATGTAATCACTTATCACATTTGTATTATTTGCGCGTGCAGAACTCGTCGTATTCAACCGGCTGACTCCTACCACATACATGCCGTTACAGTTGTTGCCAGGGACAGTTGTCGGTGATGCAGTAGACGACCTACCTGACACCGAACCAGCAACAGAGCCCGCCAAGGTCGATGAAGAAAGGCATGAACCAGTGCCATTAACCTTAGTAGACGCCGAATGACCAGTTGTTTGCATTTGTTGATCGTGCAAGATGAGTATGGAAGAATCTTTGCCTATCGCAGAAGTGCATTTCGAGTTTACCATAACGTTTGTATTACCACTATAACAAGCGCTACTGTTATGGCCACTGCGACCGCTGTGACTACTATTTCCATAGGTTGGTCGCGTCCGAGGTGAAGTGGCGTAATAGTCGGTTACGGAGAGTGGTCGATGTTCGAGATTATGGGTCAAGGGCGAGGTATTTAAATTGGTTGTCTGCGTCACAGCTGGATTGTGCGGATCATTGGTGCAGCATTTCATTCGAAAGCGATAGGGCAATGTGTTGACATGTTGCGTTGTGTGACCGCCGGTACCGTTTACGCCGACTACGTTGCTGTTGGTTCCGCATTTGCTTAGGGTTTGTGGTGTTTGTGGTGGTGGTGGCTGCATCGATATGTCAGTGTATAGTTCGTTGGGCGGTGGAGGGGTCGGTACGTACCGCTTGACTGGCGTGTGCACTGTCGATGAAAGGTAAGTGTATGTGTCGCTTGCCACCAGCGGCGTACTTTGTGTCAAAAAGTGTGCGGAAGTAACGTATCGTGCGGCACTGGAAGGCTGTGATGTGACTGCGCCTGTAGCAGATGCATACGCGTTTTGGCTGCCAACGCTGGATGGGTTATTCAACACCAGTGATTTGGGTGTAGGCACCTCACGATATCGATCCGACAAGCGAAACCGCGTATTCGGTGAAATTGAACACTGTTGCATGCTGCTTACGTACTTTTGCGTGAAGTTTGTGACACAACCACTATTAGCAGCCAGCGGTGATGTTGATGTAGAAGATGATAGTGATTGCGCGGCGTAATGAATATGCTGAGGTTGCTGTTGATGTTGATGATGCTGCTGTATATTTGCTTGTTGCGACTGTGCGTTTCCGTTAGCGCTGCTATTGCCTTCGGCGCTATCGTAATTAGCGTATGTTGCGTGCATTTCCAGGCAACTTACATTACCATTTGCACCACATATCTGTGCACTTTTCGGTGACGCAACTCCCATTATGTATCTATCGTTGTTTGGAGCTGGAGATGGCGGTGGCAGACAGCAATTCGTTGCGTCATCGTATCCCGTGATCGGCTGAATCGATAGTTTGCCATGGTGGTGTAGAAACATCTCGTTCGGGTGCGGACTGTACCGGCCACCTGTTGAGCCAGTATCGCTGCAGCTATTTCCAGCCACGACATCGTTATCGTTAACCATCTGCAGCTGCGGCTGATAGCCAAGCATTGACTTACAGCGCGCGCCGCACACATTACTGCTGCTTACGATGCATCCTCTGCTGCTGCCACTGTGGCCACCAGTTTGAGATGCGGCGGTTGCTGTGTGATGCACATGGTGGTGTAGATGATGATCGCTTTCACTGCAGTTCGATGGATTCGGTGAGATCATGCTTCGACAACGAAGTTGGCAGTAATTGCAACGGCATCAACGTCAGTGATTACTGGCGCGAAGTATCCTGTGCAGTAGTAGTGCAACAGAGACCTTAAAAGAAATAAACAAAGTAAAAATTAAACGACTCTCTTTATGTGCCTGTATATATATTTGTATGTATATATTGTTTACAACAGGTATAAGAGCTAGAACTAACAGCTATATTCAAGCGCTTTCAGTATGATAGCATTCAAATATCTATGTAATATGTTTTGCATTTTTTATCCTATTCATTCAGGCTTGGCAGCGACAATATATAGAAGCTCTTGCGTTTAAGGGAGACCTCCAATTAAATATAACTCCGAAGAAGACAATATGGCTCCTTTACTAACAAAAACAGTTCCCGCAACAAAAATTTCCCAGAGTGAGACGTCGGGTCTATCTCTGATAAAGAAAGGCACGGTGGAATGCAGGGTTCTTCGAACCATCCTAAGCTGCAGGCGATCATGGCATCTTTAAATCATAAATTCAAAAAAGCACTGATATCATCGATCACCCGGTTTGTCTATTTTGGACTGGTTATACTTGAGAGTACATCCCGTGTAAATGGCAGAAGGTATCCGTCTGACTTAATCTTAAATCTGGCAACCGTTCCTAAATCATGTAAACCTATATGTTTAACTTCCTTTAAACTTAAGGCCATCGAAAGTTAGTTAAACCTACTCACAAGGGAAAAACTCAGAATTTATGCTGCCCTAAACTGAGCGCTTATATCCAAATTAAATTGGCGGATTCCGCCCTACAGTACTTGGTTAGTAAACCGATCATCGAGTCTAAGGAGTTTCCTCTGTTTGCTTTCTTAGACACCCCTAAAAGGCTTTCGCAAAGTGAGCTCGATTTTAAAAAATATTTAAGAAATTTAATTCTCATTACTAAAGTTATATTGTATATTTTTCCCCATGTTTCTCTACGAAATAAGAAAAAAGGCATTATTAGCAATTTTAGCAACTAATCGGCAGTGTTGCCACTTGAGAATATTTTTATGTAACAAAATACCTAGGAAATCAGTTTCCCAACTATAAAACATTTTTCCATCATTAAAACGAAATTTCTTGAATTCACAGATTTTTTAGCCACACAAATTAGCAGTAAAAATTAAAATCTTTCTGTTAAGATAGGCAATTTTTCGTTAAATTTCAACAGCTGATCGACCATGGCTTTGGGAAGTGAGAAAGCTCATACTTGTGATAACTCTTACGTGTGACCGAAATGAAATCAATTTTTGAACGTGGAAACGCAAAGTAACCCAGCCAGCAAAGAAACGTAAGTTTTGCTGACAGTGCAGTCTCTTACATTTTTCGTATCCGGAAACGCACAGAAAACGACTACAGTTTTCGATAATTCACGCATTCAAAATCGTTCAAAAAACAGTGCGATTTTCGTACCCAGAAAAAAACAGAAAACGATACAGTTTTCCTTCATTTTCGTATCTGGAAAACATTCGAATATGATGACGTTATTTGAAAGCAATAACTGTATTTTACTTTTTCAAGCGGAAGTGGCTGAGTGTGCGAATAGTGTGCTAGTATTTGTTAGCTATCAGAAGATTTCCTTATTTTATCTTTTTTCGAATTATGAAAAAGCAACAGACAAAAACGGATCCGTTTCAAAACAATTTTCGGTAATTTTCAGAACATGTGTACGTTTCTGTCGCATACTTCAGTGGTTAAAGTATCTGAAAATGGAATCGGTTAAAGGACAACAATCCGCATTTCATCGACTTTTGTTTCCTTTACGGTTCAGTTTTCGGTTTTTTTGCTGGCAGTAATGCGAACAAATTTTAGTACTCGTCATTGCCTCCGCTAGGTCAGGCACCTTGCCGTTGGTGCGGGGGCTTAGTCAAATCACGACCAGACCTTATCATCGGGTGGTAGTGTAAACGTGTCCCTACCTCCGGGTACTGTGCGAATGTACTCCATTTCCTATGGTTCGGTCTGCTTGTAAGCGATGACCAAGAACTGCCGACCCCCTAGTCCAGTGTGTTAAGCGACACCGTGCCCATTGGAAGGTTTGCAGCCAGGGGGTTTCCCAGACCGGCTGTATTTTACCGGCGCCTTCCTGACACCGGGCCGCCTCAGGGAGTAACGGTGGCCTTGCTGCGGCATGGGGTGCTGCCGTTTTGGACCACTTGAATTCCCCTTTTTATGAACTAGACCACTGCGCCTGCCTCGTTGGGCAGGTGGTCGTACGAACAAGATGAACACAAACAAACAAAAACAAAATCAAAAACAAAATCAAAAACAAAAACAAAACCAAAAACGCAGTTCTACTGACAAAACTTCGAGTGGTGGAGGGGATTCGAAACCGATCCATCTCTTCCGGTCCTCTTTAAACGAGGCGGAATCGACTCGTGGGCAGGGTGGGGCAGCTGCTGCTACAGGGTGCAGTAAGAGATCGGAGCCGACCCCCTCGTCTGCACTTGTCTGTGGTGGTGTCGTTGGGAACCCACCGCACCTAGACTCGGGGTTAGGGGCGCGGGCGAATTCGCCTGCATGCAGGACGGAGGCGGGGCCGCAGATGCAATCGACTGCGGCTCAGGACGTAAGGGCAATAGACAGTGTGGCCGGTACCAGCCAAGGACTTGTGGCTTAATCTGGGGGAAATCCCCCCGTCAGGCCTAAACGGCACGCTGGGCCGGCCAGGAAAGCACGCGATGACCGTCGCTGGGCTACCAAGACCCTGGAGCGCTACGGCGAGCAGGGTCCTGCGCAGCTATCTGAGCAGACCGCGCGATCGCTCGAGTGGGCCAGGGGGGTGCTAAGCGACGGCCAGGAGGACTGTGGTGAGGGTCTTTCTGTGGATGCGAGCGCATCCCGTATTGACCCTGTCAAGCGGCAGAGATCGCAGGAGGGGGAAACCGCCCTCTCCAAGAAGCCCAGAGCGGGAGGGACGCCTAAGCTCTTTAGCGAGATCGCTAAACAGGCGGGCTCTATCACTCTGGGCGTTATGGATCGAGGTAAGGAGGACGGGGCCATCGCCAGGGAAGACTGGAGGAAGGTGTCGTCAGCCTTATCAAGAGTTTTCAGGAGGGTGGTCAGGGAAAACCCGGGGCCAGCGCCGCGGTGCGAGAGTGCTGGGTGGCACCAGGGTATGTTTAAGAAGGTGGTCTGCGCCGACGAGCAGTCGGCCTCGCTCTACAGGGCGGCAGAGGCGTTGGTCGTGGAGGTGTGGAAGGGAGCCATACTCGAGATTGTGGTCAAGGGGGAACTTCGCTCGCGTCCGCGTGCTCGGGTCTGGCTTCCCTCAGCACCTTCCACGCTGAGGGAGGTGGAAGATATCTTCCGCTACTGCAACCCGGACCTTCCAGCGCACAACTGGAAGGCAATCCAGTTTGAGAGTTCCGACGGTGACTCCCGGCAAGCGCTGATGCTGCTGAATACGGAATATCTCAAGCCTCCCGCCGAAAAACCGGGAGTAATTTACTATGGCCTCGAGAAGGTAGTCATGAAGGTCTACCAGACTGACTCCTGGGGAGATGACAAGCCTGTTTCGGTTGCGCTGGCTGGCGTAAACACGAATCCGGAGAATGTCCCCGTAGGTATGGAGGTAGAATCTGTCATGCCGGACAGTGACAGTATTGCTGGCCCTCCTTCATCTGGGGGCCCGCTGTTCGACAGGGTGGAGGAGGAAGTGCTCCTTGCGTCCGATGGGAATGGCGCCTGCGGAGGGGTGCTGGAGAGGATTTCGGAGGATGAATATTCTTCAGATCAATCTTCAGCACTCTAAGGCGGGGTCAGCCAACCTCTTAATCCGCCTTGAGCAAGGTGGAGTTGATGTAGTCCTGATCCAGGAGCCGTGGGTGAGCAGCTGCAATAAGGTTACTGGTATCGGGACGAGGGACTATAGACTGGCGGTGCAGCGGGACGCAGGTAGACCTCGATCCTGCATGCTCATCAGGAAGGAACTTAATGCTTTTATTCTGCCTCTTTCAGCGATGGTGACATTGTGACGGTGAGCCTGGAGGATGCAACCGGAGAACTCTGGTTGATCTCCGCTTATATGGCGCGCGAAGACGGGGTGCAGCCACCTCCGCGCTAATAAGGAATGCGGTGGCAGAAGCTAGACGCAGGAGGGTCGCGTTGTTATTGGGTCTGACGCGAATTCCCATCATACGATTTGGGGCAGCTCTGACATCAACACTAGAGGTGAGTCACTCTTTAACTTTACTCTAAATGAAAATTTATGTATATGTAACAGGGGGCGACCCCACTTTTGTAACGGCAAGTAGAGAAGAGGTTTTAGATATCACGCTGGCCTCTTCTGCTATAATGTCCCGTATATCTGGCTGGAGAGTCCTTAGTGACCACTCCTTCTCCGATCATCGGTACATACAATTTGCTTTGGACGAAGCGCGTCCTAAGCACGAACTTACAGGAATCTGAGGAGAACCAACTGGGACTCATACTACAGAAGTCTGCAGGAAATGCTTCCGGTTGCGCCCGTAAGAGGCGGGACCTGGACTGAAACCGAAATTGACGAATTAATTGGTGTGTTCACCACTTCAAGTAAAAGGGCCATTGATATGTCTTGTCCCCTGAGTTACCACAAAGGTAAGATAAAACCGCTCTGGTGGTCGGAGGAGCTCTCCGATCTTACGGCTTCGAGCAGAGGCCTTTTCAATAGGGCCAGGAAGAGAAAATTAGCCTCCGACTGGGCACTGTATAAGATTGGGCTTGGGATGTATAAGTCCGAGATTAGGAAAGCGAAGAGGACGTCGTGGAATGTCTCGGAAATCCTAACCGTGGATCGCCTTCTGTGGGCCATTAGCTCGTTCCTGCCCTTTAAGGACCCGGGCCCCGATGGCTTAATACCGGCCCAACTGCACAAGTCTGCAGAAGTGTCGTGCCGCTGGTTGATGCCCATTTTCGAGGGCTGTTTGGCTAAGGGTCATGTTCCGGTCCCTTCGAGGGTGGTCAGAGTGGTGTTCATTCCCAAGGCGGGTAAAGCCTCTCATGTATCACCCAGGAATTTCAGGCCGATAAGTCTCTCCTCGTTTCTTTTGAAGACGCTGGAGAGGCTGATTGATCTGCATTTAAGGAGCGGGATCCTC